GTTGGACTGGATGGGCCACTGGCCCGATCCAACATGGCTTCTCTTCTGTTCTTATGTCTGGGGCAGTGATGCTCTGTCTTCTTGGTGCTTGGGGGGCGACAGTGGGAGGGCTCCTGGAGTTCTGGCCCTGCTGGCGGACCTCCTGAAGGCACCTGCGTTGCGTTGCTGACGTATTCTATGCCTATGCACCCCGCTCATGGAACGCATACTGTACTCAAGGTGGAGAAGATCCTGACTTCCCAGATGGAGAGAAAGACGGCCGTTTTCTCTCCACCCTACCTTGGTGTTATACCTTTCTGAAGGGGAAAAAAGGCCTACCATAGAATAGGGATTTTGCCCCGTTCAGAAGGGGCCAGTCTGTGGAAGAGAGAGCACCCCCCCCCCCCGCCAACACAGGACCTTATCCACAACACTGTTCACATCTGTCGTTCCAGACAGAGATCTGAAAGCAAGCACAGCAGATATAAGCCCCTACGGACTGCATGTGCTGAAATATCACAGCAACACTTAAATGATACTTCAGTGTAAAAAAAAGGGGGGGGGGACACACCTCTCTCTTACAAAGAAAGGGACTCTTTCGCAGAGCTAATAACCCGCTCTAAAACAAATCAGGAGGAGCGGCAAAAATGGGCCTTCCCGCTTCAGGCTCCGTGGATCGAACAAGCAACGGCATTGGCAGACAGCCACCTGGTCTAAGCAGCACTCCTGCATTATCCCCAAGGAGCTCCTCTGGCTTCCTCCAAAGGATTATGGGAACTGTAGTTCAGCAAAGGTACTAGAAAAGAGCAATACCCTCCAAACAGAATTACAGTCCCCAGGCTCGGCAGGAAAGGGCAGAGGGGTTCTATGTCGCACGAGAACAAAGCGTGGAGGTTCGGCTGCGAATTCCCAGCAAGGAAAGAGTCGGGCATTCGGCAATGCTCGCATGCTGGCGAAGAGGAATGGAGGCTGGACGGATTCGAGTTCTCCCAGCGACCCCCGAGGGTCCTTGAAACGCCTTTCAGCGGCAAGCTCAGACCAGAAGAGGCACATGGGGTTGAGAGGGGACAGGACAGGTTACCAGAAAAAGGGGGATTTTAAAAAAATCCAACCTCAAGGTGAAAAGTCCACACCTGGGTTTAAGTCCAGTAAAATCTTCTGTGGAAATGAATAGGGGCGGGGGCCAGGAGTCTTCACCAGGGAAAGGGGGACGTGGAACGGAGATGGGGGTGGGTCGGCCGTCACTCCGCATTGGCACGCTCCCGCAGCACGGGCAGCGTCAGCATCTCCGGCGCGGATTTCTTCCGTGGCCTGTCCTTGGGCACGCTGAGGAAGTCCGGGGCGTCCCCGCTGAGGGGCGTGGAAGGGGCGCTGGAGGTGGTGCCCTGGGTGCCGGAGGGCAGGCAGACGTCGCTGATGGAGACGGCAGGCAGCACTGTGCCGACGATCTCGTTGGTGGCCTCCTGCGTCTCCCTTTCGTACTGGCGCACCTCGTCCATCGTCATCTCTGAGGGGGGAGCAAGCAGAGGGGAAATATTGTGAGGAGGACAGGAATTGAGCGGGCGGACTGCCATGTTGGCCACAGTCTCCGGGGCAGGCCGAAGCGGCCGTCTGCCTTTGTGAGGTGACTCCCCCAGAGAGACTGACCCTCTCTCAAGCACTGACAAAGTTAGACACGGAAAACGGCTTTGCTGCTGGCCCCCCACCCGGCCCTCCTGAAGTGTCTCAGTCGCGGAGCCTTTGCGAGTGCCCTGGCTGAATGGGGAAGGCTCGGAACTGGACAATTCAGGCTCAAATCCCATATGGCCGACTGGGACCTACTAGAACAAACGTCTGTTTCTCCACCACCAGAAATCGGAAGCAGGACAGGTCGTTTGACCCCCTTAGAGCTCGCCCGCCTTGTTTCCCTGCAAGTGTGAATCGGACCTATGTGAATGAGACCTGTGACCATCCGCCGCAGGGGAGCGTTTTAGACCTGTTCAGAAGCGCGCCCTTCAGAAGCCAGTTTGGTGTCGTGGTTAAGTGTGCGGACTCTAATCTGGGAGAACCGGGTTTGATTCCCCACTCCTCCACATGCAACCGCTGGGGTGACCTTGGGTCAGTCGCAAGCTCTGGCACAGCTGTCCTCGAAAAAGAGTTCTCTCAGCCCCACCCACCTCACAGGGGGTCTGTTGTGGGGAGGGGAAAGGAAAGGAGTTTGTAAGCCGCTCTGAGACTCCAAGTGAAGGGCGGGGTATAAATCCAATCTCTTCTTCTTCTTCTTCTTCTGATCCGTATTACGAGGAGCATGTTTAGTGTACGCTGGACAAACCTGAAGGGCCTTCGGGTTGCGCCTTGTAAAGTAGGAGAAGAAGAGATTGGATTTATACCTGGGCC